GAGATTAGGAGGGCAGGGAGAGGCCCGATCACCAGGCGCAGACGGAACCTTCATCTGGTTGTAGGAACTCGGGCGGTCTAGAATAGCTCTCTGAGCCCGTTCCCTCTCCAGCTGCCTGGCTGATCGCGGCCCCTTCCTTCTGGGAGCCCCAGGCACGGATCCCGTAGGCTCTGCCGCAGAGAAGCAGAAGCCTTGGTCCTTGTAGGGCTTTGTACCTTGAGGGATTTTCTGGTAACGCCTCTGTACTTTGCTGCTTTCTCAAGGACCTTCCAGGAGGGTGGGTGGAGCCCCATCATCATCTTTCCGGGGGTTTTGTATGACTTTCTCTAGCGGCCAGCACCCAGCAACCTGGGGTATTGGGTAGCGGTGGAGACATTGAAATGTGACTTGAAATAATTATATGAAATTGTGGTTTCATGTTCCGTTCTTCGGCTGCCTCTCCTGGTCCAAAGTGGGAAGAAACAGGGCAGAGAAATATATGGGGGGGGGGTGCGGAGAGAAAGAGAAAGAGGGGTGGGGAAAGAGGGAGACAGAAAGGATGAAGACGAGATCAGGAAAAAGATGACAGAGTGAACAGGATGACAGAGAAAACAGAAAGTCACAGTAACGGGACAGCATCAGGGTCATTCCCCAAACTGCCAGCCAACAGAAATGTCCTATAAATGGCATATTGAAGGGGCCACTGGGAGACCTCGTGCCATTGTCTGAGCTTTTGGCAGTTCCTCCGTTGCCCAGCAAACAGTCAGAGCAAAGGAAGCATCTCTGTCTAAAGGCTGTCATTCCATACCTCATTTAATGCTGATGATGGAGATATAGATACTTATGACGGGGGCATGGGGCACCTAGTGCTTTCTTTCTTTTTTTTTTTTTTTTTTTAAAAAGGTAGTTGCCTTAACTGTTTCCTCTGATTATTAAAGTGTAGTGTAAACACTTCAACAATATAGGAAAGGATAAAGCACAGTTTCCTCAGCACCATCGATGGTTGAGATAACCTCACTAACATTCTACCATGTCACTTCCATTTCCCACATAGCATTCCACTCTATGTATGTACCATCATTTACCATTTTTTTTTTTTGACGTTTTGGAAACTGAAATCACTGTACTACATATATGACCTCAGAAAAGGCTCCAAGGTTAAAGTTCTTGAAAAGAGTAATTGGCATAGAGACTGCAGGCAGAGGCCACATCGTGAAGGCTCTCAGATGTCCTGGATTTGACTCGGAGAGCAAGGAAGAGTTGTTGAGGGGTTTGGGCAGGAGAGGAACGTGGTCAGATTTACATTTTAGAAAGACCCACTATTCCACCAGTTGTATAGGGAGTGGGTCTAAAACGTCTAAGCCATAGACCGTGAGACTAGTCACGAGGCAGTTGTCCAGGCAAGTGGTACTAGGGGCTGGCCCTCAGAGAAGAGGGAGAGCGATCAAGAGAGATTTAAGGGTTAGAATTGACAGGACTTGCTTTTGCTTCGCTCTGTGTCTTATAGTTCAGGCCATTCATTCCCGTGGGGTACAGTGCAGTTGACTTTGAGGGGATTGTACATCTGTCCAGCAAAGGTAACAATAAAACAAAATAAGGACATTGGCACCTGTCTCTATTCTCAGCCAGAAACAAAGAGGAAAATACTGGTCAAGTAGAACAGAGATAAATTCGTATTGCTTTTTGGAAAGAGATGATGTTTTCAGTCTCAACCCATACATGTCTTGTTCAATACACTGAGAGCAGAGATGGCCCTCAGTGGTTCTGGGTTTTCAGCTATAATCTTGGAAGAGGACAGACATTCATTCTTCCAGTATCTACAGAGACAGACTCTCTCTCCCAATATCTACGGAGTCCTAAAAAAGGTCTCTGATCTATAAGAACAGAGAAGTCTCTGTGCCTGCCCATGGACGATGATTCACTGTATCCACTGATACAGATTACTCTAATGGCTAGTGAGGACTCATGGGGCAGGACCCAGAAATGATAATGGAAAACACGAAAATGGAGTTAGGTTTTCATGCTAACGTCACAATCTGTCCCTTATCCTGAGGGGGCAAGAACCTGAATAGTTCCAATCATTCTAGCCATTGGGAACTTGCCCTTTGGTCCAGGCCCCTGGGCTTGGCCCTGAAGTCTCTGACTATCTCCAGTGGCCTCTTGCCATGCAGAGCCCACAGTCCTGTCCTGCAACCCCTTCCCTCTTTCCAAGGAGCCCTCTTCAGCTTGGTGAGGTTCAAATTTCAGAATATGGAGAAAGTCCACCAAGAGTTAATCTTGTGTCTCTTGCACAGAGCTTTGTAGACGATTGCCTGGTCATAGAGTTTCATTTGAAAAGCAAATTCCTAATACTGGGCATCTCTCATGATGCAGATGCCATAAAAAATAATCAGATTTCAGTGCTTAATAGGGACTCTTTCAGCAACAATGATTAAATGTTCTCTACACAACAGAGAGCTCCCTTAAGTACTATTAATATCACTGTGACAATCAGAGATTAATAATCACCATATAAGGTCATTTTTCCAAAGCACCATGAGGCTCGGAGACTCCAGTAGTTGTAATCTCTCAGGAGGGCCCCACATGGTTATTGGTGGGACACTGCTCTGCTCAGTCTCCAAGGATCCAGGGCTGTGTAAGTGAATCACCTTGGCACTTAATTATCCTCTGAGAAAATGAACAGCACAGGCTTCCCTGAGATCTCTCCCTTTGCCACTGGCTACCTGTCCCTCATCAGCCTCTCTCTCTCCAAGGTTAATGCACCTCAGAGGGCTTACAAGGCAGAGACAGGGAGGTTCTGCTTTATTTTGGCTTCCTCTTGAGAAACTAGTTGGGGACAGGATGTGGTGATAGCCTCTGTCCTCCCTGGGGCAGTACCCTCTGGCCCTCTTCATATCCTCAACACAGGGTGTGGGGAAGGCACAGCTTCACTTGCACAACAAGGAAGACTTCCTGGTGGATCCCAGGCTGTGACTGTTCTACACTGTAGTGGCCAAGAGGGCAGACTCTGGAGCCAAAGTGCCTGGGTTCAAGTCCCAACTCTGCTGCTTACTGCGTTGAACTTGGGTCAGTTTCTTAACCTTGGGACCGCCTCATAGAGTCATTATGAAGATTTGATGAGTTAATATACGTGAAGCACTTAAAATGGCGTTGCACACGGTAAGCCCTGTGAAAGAACTGTGTTAGCCATTCTCATCGCCGTGATCTTGAACTCTTAGAATTTAAACCATTGGTTTCCCTTGAGAAAGAGGTGGGAGTGGCCGGAGATCAATCCATCCAGGATGATGGGCTGAACCACGCTGTGGGCAGTGTTAGTCCCCTCTGGGGAGATTGAAAGAGAGAGAGTTCTTTTCTGCACGACACAGGTGGGAACACAAGAGTCAAATAGAAATCTGAAACGATGCCTTAAGACAGCGGGATGGGTTACCAAGGAATAGCTGGAGGTGAAGGAGACGTAGGTCACTTTGTATTGCCCGGGGGTAGAACCACTTTAAGGAAGAGGTAGGGACTGAACCAGGCTTTGGAGAAAGGGAAATACTTGGATAGATGGGGAGGGCTTTCGAGCTGAGTAATAACATAAACAAAGACTTGGTGAGTAAGTTTGGCTGTGATGGACGTTGCCAGGTTTGTGTAGAAAGAATCATGGTAGGAGGACCTGAAACTTCAGAGGGTGTTGAAGGTGGGAATTTGGACATAATATTTTACTCAACAGGAGCCTTTGGACAGGGCAGCGACCTGCTGACAACAGTGGTTGAGGAGCTGTACACCCAGTAGGAGTGAACGGGGTGAAGGCAGATGGGACGAGTACAGAGGGGAGACCAGCTCACTCAGTGCAGATTCTTAGAGGCCCTGCTGTGCACCAGGGACTCACTGGTCCCAGGGTCCCTGCCGACAAGGCCCCTACTGTAAGGGAGCTAAATATCTCGTGAGTGGCAATCAGTCTTTCTCAAGGAACACTAGTGGATGCTGAAATTTTTAGGTATAAGGTTGTTGGGGAATAGGATATTCATATGGTCTCAGAGTCCTACTCCCCAGATGGCATATTAATTACAAAGGGAAATGGGCACCTCTCAGTGGCGCCATCTGGCGTTTCCACCTTCACCAGGTGACTGGACCTGGTGCATTTGAGTTGGAATTTCCTGATGTGATGCCACCCCAGGCGGGTATTCTCAAAAGACATATTGAAACAGGATCTATTCAGGCGGGAACAGTCAGACAAATCCAGAATATGGGACATTCTGGTTGAAAGCTGGCCTGGGTGCACAGAAAATTAAATTGGCACTAAAAACAGATTTTTTTTAAAAAAATTTATTTATTTATTTTTGGCTGTGTTGGGTCTTCGTTTCTGTGCGAGGGCTTTCTCTAGTTGTGGCAAGTGGGGGCCACTCTTCATCGCGGTGCGTGGGCCTCTCTTGTTGCGGAGCACAGGCTCCAGACGCGCAGGCTCAGTAGTTGTGGCTCACGGGCCCAGTTGCTCCGTGGCATGTGGAATCTTCCCAGACCAGGGCTCGAACCCGTATCCCCTGCATCGGCAGGCAGATTCTCAACCACTGCGCCATCAGGAAAGCCCCTAAAAACAGATTTAAAAGGGTGTGTGTATTGGTTGGGGCTGTGTGTGTTACTTACACATTAAAGGAGAATAAAGCAGAGAATGGCAAACTGAGTAGCCATTACTACTTAGGCCAGTCAGCCCACTGCCTGTCTTCGTGAATAAAGTTTTCGTGGAACACTGCCACACCTATTCCTTTACAGGTTTCCCAGGTTGTACAGGTTGCTTTTGTGCTCCAGCAGCAGAATTGAGTAGTTGCAACAGAGACTTTATGACCCAGCAAAGCCTGAATATTTACTGTCTGTCCCTTTATTAGAAAAGTTTCCTGACCCCTAGATTAAAGCCACATAATAATCAAATGCAGCACATGAACCTTGATTGCTTCCTGAATCAGGGTGAAAACATGAAAGCATCAGTAAACCTAATTTCGGAGCAACTGGAGATATCTAGATTAATAGTGCCTATTACATGATGTTACTGAATCCGTGTCAGTTTCCTTAGGCAGGACAATTGTATTATGATTGTCTTGCACAGCGTCCTTCTTAGGTGTTCAGTGCTGAAGTATTCAGGGGGTTGTGTCATGATGTCTACAATGTGCTTGTAAATGGTTCAGCCAGAAAAAGGAAAAAAAAAGAAGAGAAGATGTATAGAGTTAAAGCCAATGTGGAAAAATGTTAACTGGTTAATCTAGGTGAAGGGCATCCAAGTGTTCATTATATTCTTCTTTCACTATTTCTGTAGATTTAAAGATTTTCAAAATAAAAATTAGGAAAAAAATTTAAACCATCAGAGGGCTTAATTTAGGGACCACTTTCAGTAGCTCAGAAGTCATCTTCCTATAGGCTCTGGCCTGAGTCAGGAAAGCCCCTAAAAACAGATTTAAAAGGGTGTGTGTATTGGTTGGGGCTGTGTGTGTTACTTACACATTAAAGGAGAATAAAGCAGAGAATGGCAAACTGAGTAGCCATTACTACTTAGGCCAGTCAGCCCACTGCCTGTCTTCGTGAATAAAGTTTTCGTGGAACACTGCCACACCTATTCCTTTACAGGTTTCCCAGGTTGTACAGGTTGCTTTTGTGCTCCAGCAGCAGAATTGAGTAGTTGCAACAGAGACTTTATGACCCAGCAAAGCCTGAATATTTACTGTCTGTCCCTTTATTAGAAAAGTTTCCTGACCCCTAGATTAAAGCCACATAATAATCAAATGCAGCACATGAACCTTGATTGCTTCCTGAATCAGGGTGAAAACATGAAAGCATCAGTAAACCTAATTTCGGAGCAACTGGAGATATCTAGATTAATAGTGCCTATTACATGATGTTACTGAATCCGTGTCAGTTTCCTTAGGCAGGACAATTGTATTATGATTGTCTTGCACAGCGTCCTTCTTAGGTGTTCAGTGCTGAAGTATTCAGGGGGTTGTGTCATGATGTCTACAATGTGCTTGTAAATGGTTCAGCCAGAAAAAGGAAAAAAAAAGAAGAGAAGATGTATAGAGTTAAAGCCAATGTGGAAAAATGTTAACTGGTTAATCTAGGTGAAGGGCATCCAAGTGTTCATTATATTCTTCTTTCACTATTTCTGTAGATTTAAAGATTTTCAAAATAAAAATTAGGAAAAAAATTTAAACCATCAGAGGGCTTAATTTAGGGACCACTTTCAGTAGCTCAGAAGTCATCTTCCTATAGGCTCTGGCCTGAGCTACTTATGCCACCTTTCAGATCCTTCCCTTATGGTGGCTCTGGGGGGTTGGGCGTGGGAGTGGGCACTAAGGAGGCTCTGTTCCTCTGGAAGGCAGCCCCAAGTGAGTCTCCTTCTGTAACTTGGGGATTTTGCTTGTGTCTTTTGCACAGTAATTCCATCAAGCTGGTGAATCTGCTCTCCATATTTATCAGCACATGGCTAACAGCAGCCGGGTTCATCCATTTGGTAAGTATCCTTGAAGACGCTTCAGTGCTGGCGTTTCTGGAGCAAGGCCCTCTCTGAGTCATTTTATTACCTGGGAGACAAACTTCAGCCCAGCTGTAGAATGCAAAAAAAAAAAAAAAAAAAAAAAAAAAAAAAAAAACGAGAAGCAACTACACAGTTGTCTAAATTTCCAATCCTTTTACCCCAAACTAGTTCCAGCTGGTGAGTCACGGTCACACCCTTCACCTGCGTTTTTCAGCGCACCTGTATTGCTATGGGGGCCCTTTCACTGCCTTTTTTTTTTTTTTTTTTTTTTTTTTTTTCCCCTCCTGTCTGCAATAACCCCAGCCAACCACAAGATGGCAGTGCTTCCTCAGCAATCAGCAGAAAAGGTTGGCGACCAGGTTGCAAGTCTGGCCCCCATCTCTTAGGAAACAACAAATTCAGATTCCTCAATTTCCCTCCACTTCCCCCTGGCAAAAAGCCCTCTTCGATTCTTTGGCCTGATTGCTTGTCAAGTTATTTCGTGTCTCAAAAATGTTAATTCTTTTAAATTAACGACTCCAAAGCCTTATATTATTGTCAAACTGTTCTCACCTTCCCAGGGCAGATTTCTGCCTGCTTTCTAGGGAGCGTAGCTATTGTGGGAAGTGTGTTTCAAACAAACACAAACCTTTAAAGCTGGAAGGAGCCTCATCTAACTTGGAAGCTTTGGGTAAAGGTGCCTTTCCCTTGCTGAGCCTCTGTCTGCATAAGGGGTGGAAGGAAGCATTGTTACCCCTCCCTCCCATTGGGATTTTTGTAATTCTCATCCAAAGGAAGTCTGCCGGTCAATCACTCTGTCACTGGATCTGATGGTTTCCCACCCTGGCTGAAATCACCCTTAGATAATCACTCTAATTCTGCCAAGTGCCAAAAATCACAGATATGGAGGGTTCATTGGCTGTTTTCACTAAGCCGTGGCCTCACCTTCCTATTGTGTGAAGTACCTTCTGCTTCACCAGGAAAGCCCCATGAAAAGGGCACATTGACGACAAGCATTGATGTGTGACAGAGGCCAGGGTTGGAGGCCCAGGGGTGAGGGGGCCTGGGGCTGCCCATCCACAGGGACCGCCCTGGCAGGTCACAGGCATTGGCCAGCCAGTGGGTTGTAGGGCTGGACCTCTCCCCTCTAAAGTGTCTCTCCGGCCTGCCTCACAGCTTTGCCGGCAGATCATAGGTGATGGGAGTAGAGCAAGTGTTTGTGAGCCTAAAGCAGAGATGGGCCAACTGCAACCCTGGGGCAGAAGCTCTCCACACCTGTTGCCTCTGCCCGATTTCCTGCTGCCCCTGCAGAGTTGAGTTGTCCCTACAGAGAGCAGGGAACCCTCTGGTCCACAAAGCCAAAAATATTGACCATCTGGCCCTTTACAGACTAAGCTTGCTGGCCCTAGGTCTACAGGGTGTGCAAATGGAGGTAGTTCTCATGAGCTCGCTTTTTGTGCTTCCAAGGGAGATGTCTGCAGTTTGCAGGGCAGAGCCATCACTGGTCTTCTGCAAAGCAAGGAAAGCCTAGTCAGACTGGCAAGGGGTGCTCTTTGGGGTTCGTTCATATGATCTGAAGGAGCAAGGTCCCTCGGGCAGCTACTTGGTCAAAACAATGAAAGGATGAGGTCCCCTGTGGGAGGGTCCAGAATTTCTTTGGGACTGAGCAGGAACTCCAGAGAAGGGCCTCTTTGGCCCTTTAGTGCATTGCCTCTAGCCTCACGTGGCTAGAGGCAATGCCCTAAAATTCAGCTGGCCTCAGATCTTTATAACAATGAGAAGAAAATGGACTCTGGATAAGTTCCTCAGTTCCTTCCCCTCTCTGCCCCAATCAGCTGGGCAGGCGTGTCAGTGTGGCTTTCACTCCACTTTCTCCACTACCTGCTCAGAGGTTGTGACCGTTACTTACAGAGCTCAGTTCAGTCCAGCAAACTCCCCGGGCCGAGGATGCTGTGCATCCAGAAGCAACCTAGATGCTGGAGCTTCTTTGTTTCTCGTTTATTACACCTGTAATGTTCTTCCTTTCTCTAGGTGGAGAATTCAGGGGACCCATGGGAAAATTTCCAAAACAACCAGGCTCTTACCTACTGGGAATGTGTCTATTTGCTCATGGTGACCATGTCCACTGTTGGTTACGGGGACGTTTATGCAAAAACCACGCTCGGGCGTCTCTTCATGGTCTTCTTCATCCTCGGGGGACTGGTAAAAACTCTTTCTTACAACGTTGACTTTTGTGGTCATTAATATTTTTCTATTATCCATTTTCTGAAAGCTGTGTATTTGAGACTGTGTTTCTGCGCTAGAGGCAAGCGACTGCCTTAGTGTTACAATCCGGTTAAAGTCAATCCAAACGCCATGGTGACTTTTCTGCATATTTCTTCGGTATATCGGATTTGTTACCCTGAGACCCAGGCATGGTGTCCTTGTGAGGGACAGCCATTTAGCCCAGAGCAAACCTAATTGTCTTAAGAAAGTGATGCTTACTTATCAAGTGCGAGTGTCTGTGCCTTTGTAATGTAATTCAGCATCTGATATTCTGCAAGGACACTGCTGTCACCTCATGGGGGTAGATACTGTTGATACTCTATAGACAGTTTGCGGTTTCAAGAGCTCCCTGCCCCCTTCCCCCTCCCTGAACTTCCAACAAACACTGTGGCTGGGGCCTTGCTCTAAAGAGGAGTGTCCCCACCCCGGAGGAAGGAGAGCCCACTGGTCTCCTCTGGATGGACATCACTACATGAGCAGAGTATGGTTTTGTAAACAGCCAACCAACTCCCTTACACGGTATTTTCCCTCCCCCTCTGTAAGTCAGAAAGTTGCACTCTTTGCTCTTCTGCTCTATGCAGATCATCACGGTGGTTTATGATGTATTGTGCTTTTCAAGAGGGGTTTCTGGCAACTCTTCGGTGGTGGCTGCATTTTGTCTTTCAAAGTAGCTCATTTGACGTTTAGATTTTTGCTGTGTGTGAGGTAAGTGATTAAAACCCTGAATTCACACACAGCTTTCACGTATGTACACCGCACATGCATTTATTTAATGCATCCACATCTCTGTTTTGTATGCATATGGCATATACATTTGAAAAATGTATATAAATGTACGTGTGGTGTGTACATTAGCACAGTGTCCTCACAGCACCCGTGAGGTCCCTGCAGATGAGACCCCTTTATCCAGCCACAAGCACAATGTTTGTTGGACAAAACATGGCAGATTTGTGTTTCTCCTTGCTATCCTTTCCTTAAATTTACGTTTTGTGCTTTTTAGTGATTTTTTTTTTTTTTTTTTAGTGGAAAAGTTTATATATTTTTAAATCTTCTTTTGGTGTTTATTGTCTTTAATCGTTCATAAAGGCATAGATTATCATGTGAACTATAATTAGAAAGAAAGGCCTTCTCTTGAAGTAATATGTGTGTGTGTGTGTGTGTGATTTTTCCAGCATGCATGCATTCCCTTATTTCTATTCAGGAAGGAGAATTAGATATCAATTTATTTATTCCTGTGTCTCCTTTACATTTTTCTTGACTGTGATTTTTTTTTTTTTTTTTTTTTTTTTTTTTTTTTTGGTTGGTCTTAGTTGTCTAGGTTGGCTCATGTTTGTTTTGTCCTGTGTATTTTCAGGAGCTTGCCCTTTTTGTGCTTTTATTTATTTATTTTTTTTTACAATCTAACATATTAATATGTACCTTTGCAGTTCTAGCCCTTTTGTGTTTTCAGATCTTAATACCCCCCACTTCTGAAAAGGTCACCCCCTTTCTTTGGCCTGTCTTTTTAGTCTCTCTTCTGTCTCCTATCTTTTCCTCAGGCCATGTTTGCCAGCTACGTCCCTGAAATCATAGAGTTAATAGGAAACCGCAAGAAATACGGGGGCTCCTATAGTGCGGTTAGTGGAAGAAAGTAAGTATGCCAAGAGGTTTTGTTGCTTCCACTGCGGTAGAATCCTCTCTGCATGCCATTTTTTTTTTTTTTTTTTTTTTTTTTTTTTTTTTTTTTTTTGTTTCATGCATGTAGGCAATGTTTGCCCGCTACGTGCCCGAAATTGCTGCTCTCATCCTGAATCGGAATAAATTCGGCGGGACTTTTAACAAACATGGAGGCAGAAAGTAAGTCAGTTGCATTAAAAAAGGTGTGGTTGAGTGACTTTCAGAGCCCCTGTGGCGGAGACACCTGAATCCTGCCCCTCCCCACCCCCCCACCAAAGGGCCACATTCTGTGTGGGGTGTGATGTCAGAATTACCCCACGAAGTTATCACACGTGGACCAACTCCTGAGGCTTGTTCCCATTCACAACTCTCTTCCTGCCCCCGCCCCCCCACCTTTCCAAGAGACACGACAGATGTATCCTGGCAGGGGTCCATGTGTAACTGGGGCCATATTTTCTGTTCTCTTCCCTAACACGTAAACCCAGCTCACTCATTCTTTATATTAATTAGGTGAGTGATTACATTCCGGTCCCTCAGATGAAACTGATGCCATCCTATGGGGTTTTTGTGCAGCCATAACATGGGCTCCTCCTCTCACAGGGAAGTCCTAAGGAGGGCAAGATCGAGGTCACCTTGGCACTGTGGCCACCGGGCAACCAGTTCTCTAGCTAGGAGGCACCCAGCTTGTCCTCAAAGGGACTGATTACTCAGTTGAAATTCCTTCTTGGCAGGAAATACTATATTTATGGTACGTCAGGGCACGGCACGCTCTTC